TCGAGATACCGCCTGGGGCATTGCGCCGCATTTCGTCGTGTCAGCGCACCTTGCTTTATAACCAGTTCAGCTTATCGCTTAATTGAGCTGCCGTGACTTCTTGCTTTATAGGTGCCATGCCAGTAAGCACTATCTCCGAAGTGGTACCACGCGCCCGATTCCGAGTTAGGCGCCGCGTCGCAGCAGAGCGGGAAAGCGCACACATTGGCAGGTACAATAGGACGCACGTGCGCCCTTCTGTGATCTCGAAAGCAGACGACCCGCGGCAGATGGCAGAGGAAGGCGTTTCAGTCGCAGCTTGCGTGTCCTGGAGACTTTTGTCCCCGACTGTACCTACAAGAAACCCAAGAGGAAATGGCAACTGAACTGGCCAGGCGCAAACAGGTGTGGTATGAAATGACCTGCCACCTACTGAGCAGCACGCCTACCTGCTGGTGGTAGACGACGACATTAAAGATTCTTATACGTGGCACTCTGGCGTGCGGTAGCATCTCGTTCTTTCTCCGCCAACCTAACATGGTGTCAGAAGTGGGATCACGGCCGGAAATCAAGAACCGCTACCAGCACTGACTTACGAGGCACCCAAGGAAGCGATCCTCCGCTGGAAGAAATGGCAACCACCGCAGCGGGCGCATCGTTCGTGATACAGCCTACGGAGCCATTTTCTTTCTCGTCTCCGAACGAATGGCCGAAATGGAAGAAGCGCTTCCAACGCTTCCATACTGCTTCGGGACTCAGCACAAAGCCTGAAGAACACCAAATCGACGCTCTCCTTTACATGATGGGGGACCAAGCTGAGGACATCTTCAGCACATTCCAGCTAACCGAAGCAGAAGCCAAGAAGTTCGATACCATCATGGGCCACTTTGACGCGTATTTCATACCACGAAGAAACGTCATCTTTGAGCGAGCTCGATTCAACTCCCGGGTCCAACAAGAAGGCGAGTCCATTGAAGAGTTTGCCACGTCACTGCACGCCTTGTCCAAGTACTGCGACTACGGCCCAATGCAAGACCAGTTCGTACGAGATCGGCTAGTCGTTGGCATCCGTGACAAAAAGCTCTCCGCAAAACTCCAGCTTGACGCCGACTTAACACTTCAAAAGGCCCTAGAGTCAGCGAGGCAAGTTGAAAACGTCCGTCAGCAGCAAGTCGAGCTGAATCAAGACATCAAAGCCGGTAGCAGCGTCAACAAGCTTGATACAAGGATAACTTTAACTAGCCGCTTCTCTGGGTCAAGCTCCAAATCACCAGGCAGACTAAAACACAAAGAGTCTGGTTCGTCCAAGAGGAACAGCCAAGAATGTCTTTGGTGTGGACGAGCACGCCATTCCAGAAAGTCCTGTCCAGCTCGACACGAGACTTGTAAGAGTTGCCATAAGAAAGGTCATTTCTCCAGAGTCTGCCTTTCCAAGAAAGTCCGCTTCGTTGGACAATCTCAAGACGAGGATGACGAGGTTGGCTTTATTGGAGGAGTGGCACATCCTCAAGCTGACAAGTGGGAAGTGACGGTGACGCTTCAAGGGGAAGCCGTATAGTTTAAATTGGACACGGGCGCCGACGAAACAGTCATCTCGCCCTCCATCTTCCAGAAGCTCTCCCCACGACCGCGCCTGGTAGCACCACCTCGTCAGCTTCACGGACTAAACGGAACCCTTTCGGCAACACAGGGGGCAGCTCGCCTCAACATCACGTACAGAGACCGCACTTCGGTGCAAGACGTTTACATCTTGGAAGACCTCCGTACGCCATTACTAGGAAAGCCTGCTATACAAGCTTTGCAATTGGTATCGGTGGTCAACGAGATTAGCCCAAGCTCCAATATTCTTGACGGATCTAAAGTCGACGCAAGAACAGAGTTCCCTGTGCTCTTCAAGGGGCTCGGCAAGCTCCCTGAAGCATACCACGTGCAACTCCAAGACGGCGCCAAACCGTTCGCACTAAGCTCTCCACGGCGAGTGCCGATCCCGCTCTACGAAAAGACGGAAGCAGAGCTTCAAAGAATGGAGAGAATGGGAGTAATATCACCCGTCGAAGAGCCAACTCCTTGGTGTGCGCCGATGGTAGTTGTTCCAAAGCCAAGCGTGCAGTGAGAATATGCGTTGATTTCACAGAACTCAATCGCTACGTACTCAGAGAATGGCACCCTGTACCGTCCGTCGAACACACCTTAGGACTCCTTCAGAACGCAAAGTACTTCTCAAAACTCGATGCAAACTCCGGTTTTTGGCAAATTCCACTAAGCGGAGACAGCAAGCAGCTCACGACTTTCATTTCGCCGTTTGGACGGTTTTGCTTCAACCAGCTCCCTTTCGGAATTTCTTCAGCTCCGGAGCACTTCCAGAAACAGCTCTCGAGCATCCTGCAGGGAGCAAGTGGTGTCGTATGCCACATGGATGACATTCTCATCTGGGGCTCCACTCCCGCAGAGCATAACACCAGACTCCGCATCATTTTGCAGCGACTCTGCAACGCAGGTCTGACGCTCAACGAGGAAAAATGCTCCTTCAACGTCCAAGAATTAACATTCCTGGGCCACAAGGTCAACGAGCATGGCATCCGTCCAGACGATTCCAAGGTTGAAGCCGTCAAGGCCATGGACCCGCCTACCTCTAAGCCAGAGCTGCAGAGGGTGCTGGGAATGGCAACGTACCTGGCTAGATTTGTTCCGAACCTAAAAACCGTCCTTCAACCACTCAGCTTTATGCTTAGCACTAAGCAAGAGTTTGTTTGGGGATCCGCTCAACAAGACGCGTTTGACAAGTGGAAGGCGATTGTATCGTCACATCCAGTCCTTGGAGTCTACGACCCTAGAAAAGAGACTGTAGTGACGGCCGATGCGTCTTCTTACGGAGTCGGCGCCGTATTGAGACAAAAGCAAGAGGGAAACAAATATAAAGTCATCGCGTACGCTTCTAGACTGCTGAGCGACACCGAAAAAAGGTACGCTCAAATTGAAAAAGAGGGTCTAGCGCTTGTCTGGGCTTGTGAGAAGTTCAGCGATTACCTAGTCGGCAAGTTCTTCAACCTCGAGACCGACCACAAGCCTCTGGTGCCGCTTTTCTCAAGCAAGGCTCTAGACGACCTCACTCCGAGACTGCAGAGTTTGCGCATGCGTATGATGAGGTACAACTACAACATCACATACGTACCAGGAAAAGAACTTCTCGCCGCAGACACGCTATCAAGGGCACCTCTCAAAAACACATTCCCTCTAGACCTAGAGAAAGACGTTGGCGCTTTTGTCCAACACATCAGGTCTACACTGTCATTCAAAGACACATGTCTTCAGTGGATTATTGACCACCAAAAAACAGACCTAGTCTGCCAAGCATTGAGGAAATACTCTCAACGAACTTGGCCCTGCCGGCGAGACCTTGACAACGACGTGAAGCCCTACTATCAATATCGGCATCAATTCACTGTTGAGGAGGATCTACTTCTCTACTCCTCAAGGGTAGTGATCCCAGTCAAGTGCCGACCCGAACTCCTGAGACTTCTGCATGAAGGTCACTTCGGCATCGTGAAGACTCAAGCCAGAGCGGCAGGCTCTGTATGGTGCCCAGGTCTACAAAGAGATGTGGAAAACACAGTAAAAACATGCCATCCCTGTATTGAAAAGTCAAAGAACAGGAAAATGCCTCTGCTTCCGACTGAATTTCCCGACAGACCATGGCAGAGGGTGGCAATGGACCTCTTTTACCACGAAGGCCACTGGTGGTTAATTGTGACCGATTATTTTTCTCGGTACCCAGAAATCGCCCGACTACAAGGTCTGACTACACAGGCAGTTGTCACACACTGCAAGTCAATATTTTCCCGACACGGTATACCAGAGGTCGTTGTTTCCGACAACGGACCCCAGTTTTCTCGTGTAGCGACGTCTGCGTTTTCTACATTTGCAAGAGAAAATGGATTTAAACATGTGACATCCAGCCCTCGCTATCCACAAAGCAATGGGTTAGCGGAGGCTGCAGTAAAAATAATCAAAACTTCGATGTCGAAAACGGGAGACCCCTACAAGACACTTCTCTCGTATCGGACGACACCTCTAAAGAATGGATATAGCCCTGCGGAACTCCTCATGGGAAGGCGGCTTCGTACAAACGTGCCTACAGCAAGCAAGATGTTACTTCCCGTCAGCCCCGACATTGATCGACTAAAGAAGTTTGAGAAAGAAAGTCGGGAACAACAAGAAAGGCATACAATCGCCGCCACGGAGTTCGCGAGCTGGCGGACATCGTGGATGGTACCGATGTCTGGGTTGTAGACCTCAAGAGAAGAGGTACTGTACAGCAGCCAGCTCAGGAGCCAAGGTCCTTCATCGTAGCAACGGATGAAGGCACCGTTCGGAGGAACAGGACCCATCTTGTTCCCTACACCGATGAAACCCCGGCGCCTGACTCCTCCCACGAATGCCAAGATACCACGCATGCCCACAGCAAGAGTGGCCGCTGTCTAAAACAACCTAGGCGGTACTCTCCTTAAGAAAGGGAGATGTGGTATGAAATGACCTGCCACCTACTGAGCAGCACGCCTACCTGCTGGTGGTAGACGACGACATTAAAGATTCTTATACGTGGCACTCTGGCGTGCGGTAGCATCTCGTTCTTTCTCCGCCAACCTAACAACAGGCAGCTGAAGCATCTGCAAGTTCACACAAAGCTGCTCCTCCCAGGAACGTCAGCCCTTGTGCCCTCTAACGCAAAGCAGTTTTTGTGGAAATCTTGTCACCAGAATATCATTCTGGTGACTATGTAATGTAATGTCTATGTAATGTGGTACAGCCTATTTTTGCTGGGAGTGTCCAAAAGCTAAATCTTAGCGCTAATTAAATTTTTAGATGCGGTTTATGTCAGGACAAAAGCTGAAAGTGACGATGTTGCAAGGCTCTCAAAAGCAGCGCCAGCCACATATGGCTAGCAGCGACCGAAACGGGCACACAACTGACCAATCCAACTGATGCAGAAAGAGAGCTGGTCGTGCACAAAATGTGAGTGTGGAAAGCAGCTTGGGAATCCCAACACTGCGTAATGTCATGTCGAGTCCTTAGCATTTATACTTCCTTGGGATTGCTCTGTTTCACCACTCAGTCAGGGCTTTGCAGTTTACCAAGCATTCTTTATTTCACAAAGGCCAGTAAAGCAGTCGGGAGTGACAAGGAAGAGAAAAAATCAACTAAATCACAAAGAAGAAAAATAGCACAGGGATCCAGTTTGATGCCGGCAACAATGTGTTGTCATGATTTGTTGATGAGGAATGCCACGCTTTCTGCCTACACACCAATGTGCGTGAGAATGCTGCTAGGGGGCACACCGGCAGAGCTGCTAGAAACACCTTTCTCTGACTTACCCTGCTCTATCAATTGCAGGACTACCTGCGGCTCGGCTGTTGATGCGGGAGGTGCTGTAGGGCCCTACTGCCTAACACGTAAGTCATTTATGGCCTGACCTCTGGGTACTCGTATGTTTACCGTACTAACAGAACCCATGCTTTAGCATTAAAAAGGTAACTTTTTTAATGAACCTGCAGTATATGAAAGAAGTTTGCTGTGCGGTGATAGAGCCGAACATGTCATAAGCAACACATGGCTTATATCTTGCATAGAGGATATTCATTCATAAAGGGTGGAAACAATAATGCTGAGAAAGAAGGCATAAACGGCAAAGAGCTCTCTACTCTACTGTTGTGGCTGCGCTCTGTTGCTGAGCAGAATGACCGAGGAATGTCCTTTCTACGTCATGACTACGTAGCAAGTTCCCCACTGTTGCTAGATTACCTCCCAAACAGGCTCCACATGCATCCACCAGGTGCACATTGAAAGATTGTTTGATTAGCTTTAAAATTAGTTTGCTTGTGCCCTTCAGCAAAGGACTGGTATTTTTGAGGTTATGTTGCAACCTGCAACTCATTAAAGCGATAAAATGAGTGCTGGAGTTTGGTTTCTGTACCTCTTTAATGTGAAATTGTTTTTTTCAGTTGCTGACGAGGACACCCTTGCAAAGAATAAGATCGTGGATCCTAGCATCGGCCTCGAGAAAAGGGAGGAATGGTAAAATAGAAAAACTTTTCACTTTCATTCAGTGTATAATATACATTAAAAGAGTTTAGGATAGTGCAGGGGTGGCCAGAGTGACATGGAGTTAGAGCCGCAGACAAAACTACGAAAGTTTAGAGTCGCTGGAACAAAGAAAGTGGGGGGGGGCTACTTTTAACAAGAAACAATATGGAGGAAACAGTTATTTCCATAGAGGACAAGTATAATGGGCGATAACAACAAATGACACTATGCATCAGAAGGTCCTTTCCACTGCTAAGCAAAAATTAATACACGATTCACTAGCCAGTCACTGCCCCTGACAACTGTTATGCGTATACGGTTGAAAGTCTTTCTTGAACAATAAAGGAAACAGGGTCACTCGACGCATCTATGTGGCAAAAAGCATTCCAAGTGTATATATGTAGTATGTTGCCAGGCGGCCAAGACTTTTAGCTCTTTCTAAATTCTAGAACCCTTTTCGTCTAGGGGACACATTTTCCAGGGAGCCCCGAGCTGCACTTGGACCCGCAAAGAGCCGCGTGCGGCTCGCGAGCCTCACTTTGGCTACTCCTGAGATAATGTAAGCACAGTAGATTGAATCGATTGCAACAAGAAGTCATTAAAACATTATTGTAGCCAGGCTCTTAATTGTAGTTACAGCCAGTGCCTGGAAAACATTCTGTTGTCATGCTCACCTGATGCAGCTAAGGGATTATGTAGCTGTTTCATGCAGATGCCATGAAGCTTTGTAGGCCCATCAGCTTCGCAGACGCCCATGAAGATAGGAATTCATCTGTAGTGCTGTCTTAAATTTAAAGGCCTAAATTTCATTGATGTAATTATTTTAGTGCATTTTCAATGCATCTTGGAGTATACAGTACCACTCTACGTCAACGACTGGTATATGTGAAGCTGTTTCTCGCTTTTGTTTATAACAGATCCATGTCGGGCAAGGTGTGCACGTCAACCAGGAATGCGGGCAACATGCAGAAAGCAGAGTGCGACTCCATGTTTCGCAAGATCACTGCTGCTTCCATAGGGTGAGTGGAAGTGCTTTTGGAGAGGTCGGTGACCGGCACCCTCTCCAACAAGGCAAAGGCATCGAGGCAAGAAAAGGCGTTTGCCCCGCTCACTCAGCGCAAGGTGCAGGCTCTCTCATTAAGCAAACATTTTTAAAATCTTGATATGAATCTCGCGGAGTCGCGTAAAATATTTCATGCTAAATTCGTATCAACGAAAGAGAAACAAAATTTATATTTTGAAACACAAGGAATGTATGAATGTGCATTTATTTATGGCAGAAAATATCTTGTATGCAATTTACATGATTCTAACACGCCCCCGATAGTAACACACGGTTATAATCAACCCACGAATGTTGAAAAAATGAATTAATGTCGATTCTACTGCGCAGATGAATGTCGATTTTACTTCGCAGATAAAATAATGACGGCTGAACAACATACACTTTGTGGAAAACATTTTATCAAATGCACATACTCGGAAAGTGCCCACACTATGTGCTCTTGAAGCCCTACATCAAAAACTTGCAAGCAAAAATTCGGTTTCTTTGTCTTTCCAACCAAGCTCGCATGTCACCATGGACCACACCGAAGACACCACCAACATCACTCGGTTTTCTGTTTTTGCCAACGCAGTTACTTTGTTTTTTAGAGGTAACCTTATAGTAAAATCGGTTTTGCTTTTCCAAGGCTGAAACACCATTCCACGAGATCGCAAAAACAAAAAAGCGATTTTGGATTCAGATTGGATTGGATTTGAAACATGTGTTGATGGTGATGGGGCTGGCCACTTTGCACAGTTTTTTTTTAGCATTTTGTTTAGTTTTGGTTTTTGGGTCCGATTGTAACATGCATGTAATTTTGAGCTCCAGTTTTTGGGTAAAGTGCGGCTGATCCCTGGCAGCAACAGGCAATCAGCCGCCCGGAGCCTTGAAAGCTTACAGTCGCCGATCGTGACCTCCTTGCCACTATCAGTTGTGGAGCATGCATTCGTGTCAGCCGTCGCAGCGCGTAGAGGAATTCGGAACGCCCAAAAATTTTCTTGTCGCATACAATGCACTTCGGCTGGGGAATTTGTTAATTTGTTTTATTCCGAAACTCGTACTAGTTAGTATCACCGAGATTTTACTCTAGTAGGTTGTCTGCTAACACCTGGATATGTGATGGGGGTACCCCGCCAAGAATGAGTCAATCATAACAGATAATAACCGTAAATAATCGCACATTTGTATTTTGAACAGATAATTTTATTTTTCGTTGTAAGCAACAAACTCGAGCAAGTGCTCGAAGAGAAGTCAACGGAGAGCTCGATGCGTCGTGGGCTATCCGGCAAAGCTGGCGTGGCTACGAGCTGTGCCGTTCGGGTGCATAGTGGTGGTGTAGACGTGTTACAGCCTAGCCATTTGAAACACCTGTGGGCTTTACGTGGACCAAAGCGAACTAAGCCATCTAAGCGCCTATGTGTGAGATAAGTAATGTCAAGGTCATCGTGTTCAGGGCGAGATTACGCCAACAGTTGAGTATACCTCCAAACAGCGGCGCTGCTTCGATGTGTAGTGCAGCTACATAGCGGTTTTCGCCATGACATGACTACGTCCAAGATCCCCAACATCGCTAGATTACCTCCCAACGAAGGTTCAGAGGCCTCCAACAGGTGCACATTGAAAGACTGTTTAATTACGTTTAAATTTAGATCCAGGCCATGAATGGAAGATCTTTCAAGGAATGTGAAAGATTGTTTTTATATAGAACTGCATTGTTCTTTCTGGTGCTCATGATGCTATTTTTTTAATTCTGTGGTGTGTCTAAGCTGTTACCACAGCGAGGGATGATAACCAAGTATAAGTAGTTTCCAACGTACATTGTCTACTAATCTACAGTTGTAGCTCCTATTTCTTACAAGGTCACTAGCCTAGCAGTGAGATTTATAGACATGGGCTACCTGTTTTGTGCTTAAAAGAATCTAACAGAAGCCAGGGTGAGCTGTCTATCGGGAGTGGAACATAAATCAGGGTACTGCGGTACTTTTGCTTTCATGGTGATGTCTGAACACTGTAAATACTAAGAAACGCTGAAGGCTTGTTAGGTGCCAGCTGCCACTTAATTGCTTTTATTTGAGACTAATTTACCCTTTATTTTCTCAAACTATGACCCTCCAGCCTGTATTTATGACGTTCTATATTGTTTTAAGTCTGAGCACTGCTAAAAATAATTACCCTGGAATTTCAATATTCCAGGCTGCTTTTGACTACACCTGAAGAAGGAAGGTACCGCCAGGCTGAAAGGGCAGCCCGGCACCAGAAGATACGGCGGTACCTGTCAGAAAAGCTGTCCAATCTCAAGAGAATTCACTACAAAGGTATGTGCATCTATACTCTAACTTCCTTAATTAAGTAATATACTATTTTGGGTCTCAAGTTTACAAGCAATTATTTTAAATGATGGTACAGATAAATTATTCAAAGGTTAGTATATCTAAATGTTTATGCAAACAACTTTAAAGTAGTCTGTTGATCAGCTGACCACTTGAAAAAGGCTGTGGGTTGCTTGGTCGCTACTGCCATCCCATCAGGCCGTGCTCGCTCACTCTCCAAAAAGTTACATGGTCACACAATTACAATGAAGCACGTCACTCTTACTGCCCCTTAGTCGTCTCTAGGCCCACTCTGCTGTTTACGTATGTCAATGGTCGTCCTGTGTTTGGACTCATTGCTGATCTCTGAATTGCCCTTGATATGTCCAGGCTCATCCCTTTGCTGCCTTTCCTCCCCCGATGCGTGGTCCCACCACGGACTGCCCATGCTGTTGCAGGTCTGCCATCGCTTGCACCCCATGTTGTAGCCTTTTTACCCTTTTTTTCATATTAATTTAGCTTAATTTATATATTGCCAATACTATTGAAATGAAACAAATGTACTATCGCAGCCAATATGAGCTGAAACGCCACTGCACGTGGCACGCGATGAGAGTTGTCTCTCAGATTGTTCAGCAAACCTTAGTATGCGTTGAGGTAGAAACAAATCACTTCTTGTGCTCGTTGCGCCACTATGCCGTTCCGTGTCAATTTTCAGCTCATAGTGGCACAATGAGTGCAAGAAGCAACCTGCCTAAACCTCAGCAAACACAGAGGTTCCCTGAAAATCCGACAGGTGGCTCTGATAGTACCACACGCCAAGCGTCATGGCGCTTCAACTAATATTGGTCACAATAGTACTTCCTCAAATGTTCCTGGTTTTTCTGTACCACCTAGCCATTCCGCCCAGCGAAACAATGTATGATTTCATAACTTCATAATAAAAATATCAAAGCAATGCAGCTTGTTTGACTTTATTCTTATTAGTAGCTGCATTCGCCGTACTCAAATGTCGGGCTGGCGATTACCAGTGTGCAGTGGACAATATAATTAAATTCTAAGTGGGATATGCACCTCGTCATGCTCTACGCATGGCATAATTAAGTTTCCAGATTATGCATTCACATATTGTTGTGTTTTTTAAGTTGTGGCCAACTCGAACTGTTTCAAATTAGCCATGAAACCACCATAATCAAACCGTAAAAAATAGGCGTCTCAAAATACGAGAGGTCATTCGGCCATCAGACCAAACCAACAGACCATCAGGCCATCAAACCATCAGGCCAACAGACTCTCAAACCATCAGGCCAATAGACCATCAAACCATCAGGCCAACAGACCATCAGGCCATCAAACCATCAGACGTCCCAAAATACGACTTCATCAGACCATCAGGATTTTCCTGATGGTCTTTTTGATAGGGTACACTTGGGCTACAAAAATTTATTGTATTTGGCTACTTTTGGGCTACGCCGTCTGGCTTTTGGCCGTTTCAGCTAGAAACTACCTGGCAACCCTGATCGAGATCCGGAAGGGTGCGCCTAGCAGCCGCTTTTTGCTTTTTCTGCTTGTTGTCAGTTCCAGCTGGAACTTCGCGCGTCCACCTGCTTGGATCTCTCGCCTAACCCTGCGGTCTTATTAGGATGTCTCTCGACAACGTATTGGGTGTGCACCAAAGCTATCAGTGTTCGAAAAGTCCTACGTCTATATCGGCAACAAGCGATTCTTTAAAGAAGTCAGGAATTCTCGCGGTTCGGTTGGTTTCGGCAACTGACAGCTTGTGCGCCACATCGTGTTGAAAGTTTTAAGAAGCCGTTCCCTCTCATTTGTGTTTATGTGGTTGTAATGCTTTGACCGCGTCGACAAATATCACGGATTACATCTTTCAAGACCGTTATGTTTATAGTAAGTGCACTGCAACCTACTTCTTGGCAACGATTGACCGTTCTTCTACTCGTACACTTCCAGATTATCTATATAATTATGCAGCTACTATTCTCACGGCAGCCGGGCGAATAATTTCCCGAAAGTCTACCTTCATAGTCTAGAATTACCTCGGTTCTTGTTTGCTTTGCTATCTTCTCAGTTGTATAAAAGCTTAGAGTGCCTCTCACATTTCACAGATCGCTTGCACGTTTGTACTTGCATACAGAAGACGTAATAAACTTTGAGGAGAATTGAAAACAATCTTTTGTGTCTGTTTTCCTGCCCATTTGCAAGCACCTACGTGAGCACGTTTGTTCTACGTGTTTCCTCTATGTTAGAAATAGGTTTATGAGTTTCGGAACGTCTTATATAAGTTTAACAAAACCAACCTACCAGACGATCCCCGTTTAGGGCTAGCGCATAATTTCTCGATTCGAATGGCACGTTCAAACGTGTGGTCACGTGCAAGGTCGAACGGGCAGCTGGGTACCGTTTCGAACGGCTAACCGTATCCCATAATCACGTTTGATTCAATTAGGTCGACAAGTTTGCACCCGTTTGATTTACCAGTTTGCCACCCGTTTGAATTTCAAATGTTTTTTTTTCAGTAGGGTGGTCACGAGACGCAGAACTGGTAACCAGACTGGCTGAACTGGTCGAACTGGTAACCAGACTGGCTGAACTGGTCGAAAAGGTAACCAGATTGACCAAACTGGTTACCAGTTTGACCCCTCTTTCTCACTATATTTATTGGCTTTCTCACTTTATTTTATTGGCTTTCAAATAATTACGGCATGATCGAGCGTTTAGTTTTTACTAAAATATTAATTCCCTGTGCCGTTTAAAATACTCTCAGAGGTATGACATTGCTGGGAAGAATTCAACATTTTGGGAATATTTTTTAGTGCTTAGGCGGTCACCGAGAAATTCCGTACGTTCAAAACGACCCGTATAAAAGACGGAAACGCAGAGCTGGATAGTAGTGATCAGGTTATTGTGTTGAATTGATGTTTGTATGTGCCGTGTATGTGTATGTCTATGTGTGCTGAGGCTTGAAGTAGGCTAATTGCGTCTACATTTGTGTATTATAAAGATTTCCGCAAAGCAGTGCTGGCGTGAAGGAATGAAAATATTTTTTTTTCGAACCAGTGTGACCAGTTCAGCCACCATAATCAGTTCAACCGTCATGACCAGTCAACCGTCTTGACCAGTCAACCAGTATAACCAGTTCAACCGCCATGACCAGTCAACCAGTGTGACCAGTTCAAACTCCCTCGACCAGTTCAACCATTATGAAACTGGTTAAACTGGAGCAATAACCAAGTTTTGAAACTGCTACCAGTTTAAACTGGTGTTTCCAATAGGGTTGGACTGAACAAGATAATATTCAGCACGTTTTTTTTTCGCCGTAAACGATGCGGTGAGGATGTGGTATCATAACAGTGAGAGTACCTTGATTTTATGTGCTGCGTTTAAACAAAATTTTCTGAAGACGTTTTTGCCTGCTTTGCAAAAGGGCTGTCCGTGCACACTCATGCGCGGCAGTATTATGAGTCGAACACTTTCTTCGACGACGAAGTACTGAAGCTGATGTTTCGATGTGCCTATCCTAAGATGGAGGAAGACACGAAATTGAGTTCCTCTATGAGAGGCGCGAGCGAACAACGTTTCGCCGGACTGGTTTGTAATCCACCTGAGACCGTCGCCGAGTCCGTCGCGGAGGCCACAGCCATCGAAAAAACGCTTGACGTGCCGGAGCGACAGAGCCAACGCCCTCAACTCCTGACGAGTGGCTACGCCGGAGTAAGCGTTTCCAGCGTTGACACCCTACGGAACACCATCCGTGCAGCTGTTCCAGAAGAGCTACAAAGGCTCTCTCCAACACCCCATCCCTAAGCAGCTTTACGGGCGCAGTGAGGAAAGATATCCGGCAAGCACTCGATACTGTGGAGACGCGCGAGGGGGGGGGGGGGGCAGTGCACAAGCCCAATGCAATACCCTATGTTGCTGCTTTGGGTACGCCTGTCTTAAGTCGTCACATCTTAGCTCCTCCACGGGTCACCGAAGTGCCTACTCCTGAACCGCCGCCACCATCTCCGCCCCTTTTCCTTCCGCCACCCAACCCCCCCCCCCCCCCCTATCTCGCGAAAGAATTCTGACTTGCGTGCCCAGTACTGACGACGACTCGGCCTAAGAGAAAGGGTCACGTCGTCCGCCGATTACGGTAGTAAGGTAATTTCTTTTCAAGTCGTGCACAAAAAACAGGTAATAACTCCTCAAAAAAGTTTGAAAAAAAAAGTTCCACGGGAAATCTGTCACATGAACACGCAAACCACGAAAACTTTCTTGGTCTTGCGTTTTAAGCTTCGAAAGGGCGGAAGGTAGATCTTGCGATTTTTGCAATTTCGTACGAGTGACAGTGTGGAGAATCCCAACGATTAGATAATTCTTAGAGCGCGGCTCTTAGTCGTTGTTTCCCATCATTTGTGGCATCGCCGTCGGAGTAGTCGGAGGAGGAGAGGGTATGCAGGAGAAGGAGGGGAGGCTGAATAGGAGGAGGAAGAGGAGGGGTGGAATGTAGTAGGAGTGGATGGTATGAACAAGGAGGGCTGGGTATAGAGGAGGCTAGGAGAGGAGTGGGGGGATATGAAGAAGGGGGGACGGGAGGGTACGGAGCAGGTGGGTACGGAAGGGAAGAGGAAGGTACGGAGGAGGAGGACACGGTTGCGAAGCAGGGGAGTGTATGCCGAAGGAGGAGGGAAGGGTTCATACTCTCCCCTCCCCCTCCTCCTCCATGCCCTTTCCGCTTCCTGGGCATGGGGGAGGAAAACGAGGGGTTAGGATAAGTAGCAAGGGAGGGAACGGCGTCGCCAGACACGGGAGTGGAGCTGGGGAAAACACAGAAGAAGAGGAGGGTAGGGTACACAGAAGTAAGGGTGGTGGGTACGGAAGGGAGGGTATGGATTACCTCCCCTCCTCCTCCTCCATACTCCTCCATAGCCCCCCCTCCCCCCCTCCCCCCACGTACCCTCTCCTCCTGCTCCTGAAGAGCTGAGCTGTAATATCGCATTACCCAGATTTGTAAACGTCTTTCATTTTAGAGTGCAGCTTAACTTAGGCGCTTGTTCCCGTGTTTGCGGCGTTGGCGTTGCGCCGTCGTCGCTGTCACTGTTGACGTAACCGGAGGAGAAGGGGTACACAGGAGGGGAGAGTATGGAAGAGGAGGAGGGGGTTGGGTATAGAGTAGGAGGAGGGGCGGTTACGGCGAGGAAGAGGGTACAAAGGGGTGTAGAGGTTATGGATGAGGGTATAGGGAGGAGCGGGGAAGGTACGGAGGAGGAGAAGGGTACGGAACAGCAGTGTAAGGAAGATGAGGAAAGGACGGCACAGAGCAGCAGGGGAGGGTACACAGGAGGAGGAGGGTAGGGTTCCTACCCTCTCCCTCTCTTGGTTACGGATAAGGAGAAGGGGAGGGTACACAGAAGGAGGAGAGGGTTCCGTACCCTCCCCCTTCTAGGTACTAATGAGGAGGACGGAAGAGTGCGGGGGAGGAGGGGTCGATAGGGAGGAGAACAGGGAAATGGAGCAGGGGAGGATATAGATGAAGAGCAGGGGAGGATATGCAGGAAGGAGAGGGGCAATGAATGGAGCACCTACTAGTTTCCTCCTCCATACCCCGAACTCCTCCGCCTTCATGCCCTCCTCCTCAAGAGCTGCGTTCTAGTTTCGGATTACAGAAACACCTGAAGGTCAAAATTTTTTACAAAATTTATACCAATTTTCTTGCTTCAAAGGGATGCTGAATAGAAATCTAGGTTCCACAAAACACAGCGGCAGAAGTGCGCAGCGGAAAGCTACAGACACCAGAACATCACTCATACAGCGATATCTCGAACAGATGGCCGCATTTTTCTAAAAAAAGAGGCGCCTTTGACATATATTTGACGTCATATGTCTTCGAGAAGACTCGAGAAGGAGAGGAAACGGCCTCGCGTCATCTCCGCCTCGCCGCCTTGAAGTGGCGAAGCGAAGGGAGAAAAAAACGAGATATGTTGACGTCACGCGCCTCGTCGGCCTCGTTCAATCTCGACCTCTCTTTCGAAAAGCACGGCCGTCCATTCGAAAAAATTCGCTTTACGAGTGGCGTTGTAGGGATTGCAGCGTCCTGGCCTACCGCTCCTGCATTGCTTTCTGAAATCCAAATTTTTGTTCACCATGCTCTTAAGTCTTGGTATAAAATTGTTAAAGTACTAATAACTGTGTTTCTTTATCTTGTGAAATTAAACAGCTTGACTCTTGTACATTTTACAATAACGAACCAAGTTTTCAAAGAACTAACTTTCGATGCACAAATATTTGAGAGATGAAACATATCAAATGAAAGCTTGTGTCTAAGGCTATCTATATATATAAGAGTGCTATTTTAAGCATTGGTTATCTGGAACAAACAACATTTGAGCCAGAAAAGAAAAGGTAAACGTACAGAATTCAGTGTCATCTTAAATATATATTTATTTGTTATTTT